TGGGCCCCTTACGACTCCTGACCAGCAGATGAGCAAGACCCCATCATCCAGCTCTCTCTCCCAGCGCATGAAGAATGCAACTCTCAATGCAATCACTCCAAAGTAGGCTATGTTTGAATCCTATTACGTTCTACCAGTGCTGTTCGAGTAGAAGTGAACTAACCATTATGAACATCCATCCTGTTTTCAGGTTTTCTAGCAGGAGCAGAGCTGCAGTCAGCGTCCCTCGCCAGGGGCACTTCTTCGTCTCTCCTCTCCTGAAGTAGCCCTGAAGCTCCTCAAGGCTGAGTTTTTCTTTTCTTTGGGAAACAGCTGCAATATATTACATTATCCTACTTGCATATTATGTCTGGTTTGTCCATCAGTTTGAACCATATTAACACTACTCTTTTTATCTGTCGAGTTTTCTAGTAACATTTGTATTTTAGTCGCTTTTAAATGTTTTAATGTACTGTTAACATTCTCACAACCAAAGCGATGGGCTGATATAAGCACTTCCATCAGTCACTGAATCCTCTATTAACAACAGAATATGCATCAGTTTGGGAGTTCTTTATCAAGAAACCTGAACTTGGTTGTAGCATCTAGAACAAAAAAGGTTATGCTGTATGCGAGATTTGTATATAGTATAATCTGTGTATTGCTTGTATATTGTGTGTTTTACATGGAACGACAAGCAAAATCTCAATCTCTTAGAGGGTTCAAGGCTTTAGTGACTATCAGGTTTTTCTATGTAGAGTGTAAACTGTGTTTTTAAACACAGTCAAGCTTAGATTTTACAGCCAGTAGGTTTAATACAGAATTTAAGATGATGCTGCTGCTGATGTTAAAATGAATGATGCTGATGTTTAAATTATCCATTTGTTGTTTGAGATACACTGTGCTTTTGAACCGTCTAAGATTTGTGCGTAGAGAGGTTCAAGACAAGAAAATTGAGAATTCTATGCAATTTGTATGCGAAAACACTATTGGTTGTTTTGATTGGGCATTTTGTCTTTTAGCTTCATAATTGCTTTTGATCATAAATGAACATGGCCAGAATTCTTTTAGACTTTCACTATGGCATTGATTTATGTCTTTATGCAGTTTTGGCTCAATTTATTGAATTTTATACCGTATTTAAAGTAGAAAAACAAAATATGGTGCCCTCTGGGAGAATTTACTGATTTTGAAGGATCTAGTGTACCTCGTTCAATTCATAAAAGATTATACTGATTGGACACTCTTTACTGTATACAATTAGTCATTTTCCTTTCAGTGGTGCAACGTTTTCTGGACCAGTAGTTGTGCAGCACTGAACGATCAAGCTTTCATCGTTTTAAAAGGGCAATTGTTTACCGTGTTGAACATTTGAAGTTGATTTATGAACTCGGTTGCTTTTCAATTTGAGTGGTGTGATATTTTGTAAGACTTGTGCTGTTTGTAAAATACATTCATTTATTGCAAGTCCTTTTGTGTCTGTCTTTTAACACATCGCATTGGGGTTTAGAGTTAGACTGAAGTGGCGAGACTTAAATGTTCACATTTAAAATACAATACAAAATCACTGAGGCACAAAGCGTGCCAAAATATAAGACTGGGTAGTTGAATTAATGGAAAAAGAGAAGTATTGAGAGATTTCTTGAAGAAAGTCCTTGTGGGTTACAACTGCAAA